ATAAATTCTTGAAAATGTTAAAAAAGAGAGAGAAAGGGGACCCGGCGAAGATGTTTACCCCGGAGCCCATGCTGGCTCTCGACGCTCCTGATCATGTGTATTAACATACCACTACAATATAAGCTTAACTGATATAAAAAGAAAAATAATTTATGAACAAATAACTATGCTTTAAATTACATGTATAAATCAATGAAAGAACAACAAACATACTTGGCTAAAATATGAAAAAAGGTTACCATACATTGCAAAACAATCCAAATAAATAAAATTCCATGAAATAAAACTGTTGGGAGTTTTTATTGTTCGTAATTTAATCAGCATCCTCTGAACATGCACTACCAGCTTCTTTTTTCTACTGTGTGACTAGAAGGGGTAGATGTTGGTCTCTCTCTCTCTTTCTTCAGTCACTTCACTTGTTCCAAAAACAAATCTTACCTGCTCTAAAAGCTGTAACTTGTAATAAAATATAAAGTATATAATGTTTTCAAACACAGACTAGATATTATGTAGAAAGTGTGTACCCAATTTCATGCAGTTACGTTAAGCATGATTTGTATGTGAAGGCAACAAACCTGGTGAAACAGGGTCACCTTGCTGGTTCAGAAAGGGTTAATCGAATTATGCAAATTTTGAAGATAAATAATATAAAAAATAACTATTTAAAGACAACAAACTTCTAAACAAAGCAATCTAGTGTCCATTCAGTTGCTTCATTGGTTTTTAATTTGGCCATAATTTCTGTAGGCTGTTGTTTAATGTAGTCCACCAGGTATATGTATAGAAAGTTTTATATGTTATACGAGTTTTTATCTTTTTCTATTTGAAAAAGCATGAAAAAATTAATATTTTTTACCAAAAGAAAAAAATTTTAACAATTATTTCTTAACAACAACTGAATTGCTATGAGAGAGTTCTCAGCAACAGGATCTTATATACTGAGCCTGACCAATCAACTTCTATTTTACTCAAAACATTTGGAACAATAAAATCATATCTCTTAATTTTTTGTCATCACTAAAAAAAACTCATAAAGAAAGGCTTAAGCATATTATTAGTATCAAATATTTATAAATAGAGAAATATTGAACAAAAAAAATTTTCCCCTAAAGAAACTTGTACCAAGACTAAACAGTTTCTGTTGATGTTAGAATTTCTTTGAAAGTTATTCCCATGGTTTTTTTGAATGGTTATATTAACAAATGTTTTTTTTAATAAAGCATTTTTATGGAATATTATCAACACCTGAAAGTTAATTAAAATTATTTAAAAAAATCTTGTAACAATTATTTTTTTATGGTTCATTTCCACAAAATAGTTCACTACACTCTGAACCTAGCTAGCATTGTACCAGCATTTTTGTTTTCTTAGACATAAAGCTTTGAGATGAGAATCATGGAAATTGTCATAAGTTCCTGAACATTTTTGAAAAAAGTGCCTAAATCTCATTATTAGGAATTGAACTTGAAACAATAGAATTGTATGTCATTAAGTGAAACACACCCACTGCATTCTTGGTTTGTTTATGTGAAAAATAAAGTGTTTATTTACCACAATAACTGCACTTTAAAAGATTTATTACTAGGAATTTCAAGGTGATTATCTCTCTAGGATGCTAATGAATGTTGGACAGAAGTTATGCGTATGCTGCAGCAAAAACTTCCACCAGTTTCTAGTCTAGCCACAAGTGATCCATCAACAGAAGGAGCTGTTTCCTCTAACAGTTGTAATTTTATTGATCAGTATTTTGGAGGAACATTTGATGTCAGGTAAATATAAATGTTGTGTTTCCCTTCTCATCAGTAATAGAATATTAAAAACCTATTGTACTATTTATGGCCCATCATAGCAGTAAGCAAATATTTAAAACCTGTTGTGATATTTATATCCAGTTCCCCTCAAGCAATAAATGTTCTCCCACACTTTGTGTATTTTCAAAGGTTTTGAATTGACCAGGGGGTACCAAACAGTGTAATGTTAAAAAGTAGCTTATTGTTTTAACATATTTTATTGGTAGGTTTGGTCTGAAGATATTTTTTTAATACTTTGATGATAGTTTTTTGTTTGTTAATTTAGTATTTCAAATATTGAACCAAAACAATTTTTTTGAGCAATTTGATGAAAGTTCTAGCAGTAATGGATAAAAGGGAATACTGATATTTCAATTGGAGCAAATTTCTTTATCTTATGAAAATTGTTCTTAACATCCTTAGGTTAAAATATGTGGAAAGGAGAGAATAAAAATTTGAATGAGTAATACGCAACAAATAACATTTGTAATGTAGTTATTCAATATATCTTGAGAATGTTTTTTGAAACAAATAAATGATCTAGTTTTCCCACAGCCTGAAGTGTGTGGAGTCTGATGATGAAAAGGAGGCAGAAAGCAAGGAAAACTTTCTTCAGCTTAGTTGTTTTATATCGCAAGGTGTGAATCTTTTCTTTCTTCTTGTATTAAAAATTATTAATCATAAATGGTTATTAAATGAAGTGGTTCTTTAATATAGGTAATTGGTATTTTAAATTGTAAATTCATTTTTAATACATAAAATGGCATATCAGAAGTTCCCTCCCCTGCCATTTTGATTTACCTGTGTACTGTTAATTGAAATATTATGTTCAAAGTGAAACTGTTATTTACTTATCATTTAGGCATACTCATCACTTTTTACTTTCTTACACATCTGCCCTAATTCAGCTTTCAATGTTAAAGTGATGTAATGGAAATTTCAATTATGAGCCAAGTAGATCCATAAAAGTACGATCTTTGTTGTATAAACTTTTGTTTCTCGGGTTTTTCTAAATTTTGATCAGTACAGTTTTGCAAATTTTGCTCTTCATCCATAAAAAAACATGATGCTTCTGTCTTGTTCTTCCTTGGTCTAGATAGTTCTGTAGCATCTTGGCTCCTATCTGGCTCTCCCACCTTAGTCTAGATAGTTCTGTTACATCTTGGCTCCTGTCTGGCTCTCCCACCTTAGTCTGAATAGTTCTGTTGCATCTTGGCTCCTGTATTGCTCTCTTATCTTATTCTGTTGCATCATAATCCTGTTTGACTCTCCCAACTTAGTCTGGATAATTCTGTTGCATCTTAACTCCTGTCTGGCTCTCCCACTTTTGTCTGAATAGTTCTGTTGCATCTTGGCTTCTGTATTACTCTTTCATCTTATTCTATATAATTCTGTTCCATCTTGGCTCCTGTCTGGCTCTCCTAACTTAGTCTAGATAGTTCTGTTGCATCTTGGCTCCTGTCTGGCTCTCCCACCTTAGTCTGGATAGTTTTGTTGCATCTTGGCTCCTGTCTGGCTCTCCCACCTTAGTCTGGATAGTTTTGTTACATCTTAACTCCTGTCTTACTCTCCCACCTTGATGTAGATAGTTCTGTCGCATCTTAACTCCTGTCTCACTAACCCACCTTAATGTAGATAGTTCTGTTACATCTTGGCTCCTGTCTGGCTCTCCCACCTTAATGTAGATAGTTCTGTTACATCTTGGCTCCTGTCTGGCTCTCCCACCTTAATGTAGATAGTTCTGTTACATCTTGGCTCCTGTCTGGCTCTCCCACCTTAGTCTAGATAGTT